TTTGGGCCCCACACTACAAGAAGGATGTGGATAAATTGGAGAGAGTCCAGCGAAGGGCAACAAAAATGATTAGGGGTCTAGAACACATGACTTATGAGGAGAGGCTGAGGGAGCTGGGATTGTTTAGCCTGCAGAAGAGAAGAATGAGGGGGGATTTGATAGCTGCTTTCAACTACCTGAAAGGGGGTTCCAAAGAGGATGGCTCTAGACTGTTCTCAATGGTAGCAGATGACAGAACGAGGAGTAATGGTCTCAAGTTGCAGTGGGGGAGGTTTAGATTGGATATTAGGAAAAACTTTTTCTCTAAGAGGGTGGTGAAACACTGGAATGCGTTACCTAGGGAGGTGGTAGAATCTCCTTCCTTAGAGGTTTTTAAGGTCAGGCTTGACAAAGCCCTGGCTGGGATGATTTAACTGGGAATTGGTCCTGCTTCGAGCAGGGGGTTGGACTAGATGACCTTCGGGGTCCCTTCCAACCCTGATATTCTATGATTCTATGATTCATTACTCCTTGTCCTGTCCTCTTCTACCACTGAGAATAGTCTAGAACCATCCTCTCTGGAACCACCTCTCAGGTAGTTGAAAGCAGCTATCAAACCCCTCTCATTCTTCTCTTCTGCAGACTAAACAATCCCAGTTCCCTCAGCCTCTCCTCATAAGTCATGTGTTCCAGACCCCTAATCATTTTTGTTGCCCTTCGCTGGACTCTCTCCAATTTATCCACATCCTTCTTGTAGTGTGGGGCCCAAAACTGGACACAGTACTCCAGATGAGGCCTCACCAATGTCGAATAGAGGGGAACAATCACGTCCCTCGATCTGCTCACTATGCCCCTACTTATACATCCCAAAATGCCATTGGCTTTCTTGGCAACAAGGGCACACTGCTGACTTATATCCAGCTTCTCGTCCACTGTCACCCCTAGGTCCTTTTCCACAGAACTGCTGCCTAGCCATTCGGTCCCTAGTCTGTAGCTGTGCATTGGGTTCTTCCATCCTAAGTGCAGGACCCTGCACTTATCCTTATTGAACCTCATCAGATTTCTTTTGGCCCAATCCTCCAATTTGTCTAGGTCCCTCTGTATCCTATCCCTCCCCTCCAGCGTATCAACCACTCCTCCCAGTTTAGTATCATCCGCAAATTTGCTGAGAGTGCAATCCACACCATCCTCCAGATCATTTATGAAGATATTGAACAAAACCAGCCCCAGGACCGACCCCTGGGGCACTCCACTTGACACCGGCTGCCAACTAGACATGGAGCCATTGATCACTACCCGTTGAGCCCGACAATCTAGCCAACTTTCTACCCACCTTATAGTGCAGTCATCCAGCCCATACTTCTTTAACTTGCTGACAAGAATACTGTGGGAGACCGTGTCAAAAGCTTTGCTAAAGTCAAGAAACAATACATCCACTGCTTTCCCTTCATCCACAGAACCAGTAATCTCATCATAGAAGGCGATTAGATTAGTCAGGCATGACCTTCCCTTGGTGAATCCATGCTGACTGTTCCTGATCACTTTCCTCTCATGCAAGTGCTTCAGGATTGATTCCTTGAGGACCTGCTCCATGATTTTTCCGGGGACTGAGGTGAGGCTGACTGGCCTGTAGTTCCCAGGATCCTCCTTCTTCCCTTTTTTAAAGATTGGCACTACATTAGCCTTTTTCCAGTCATCTGGGACTTCCCCCGTTCACCACGAGTTTTCAAAGATAATGGCCAATGGCTCTGCAATCACAGCCGCCAATTCCTTTAGCACTCTCGGATGCAACTCATCCGGCCCCATGGATTTGTGCACGTCCAGCTTTTCTAAATAGTCCCTAACCACCTCTTTCTCCACAGAGAGCTGGCCATCTACTCCCCATGCATCAGGATGATGCATTATGTTCAGGAGCTCAGAGGTACAAGACTGCCCATTAATCTCCGAGGTTTTAACTGTGACACGTAAAAATAATTTAAATGTGAATATTGTTAAATTTGTTTAATTGATGATCATTCTAGTAGAAACATTCAACTAAAATTTATCCCATAATCTGCCACTGTCCTTTACCCAGATTCCCCATACAACTTTATGATAGTTTTAAAGGTCTGAAGATGAAAGCGTGAGACCAAGATAGAATTAAATTTAATATGCAAAAACAACAAGGACTATTTGTTCATAATTTCTAAAAGTAAATTAAAGGGGCTGAATTTTCCTAGTGAGCCTATTCAGATTGCCAAAATATTATTTATTTGCAAGACTGAGAATTATTGCTAGAATATTATATCTAAGAATTGTAAAAGTTTTTTATTATGGGGGAAATTTGGCATGTGATTTTAATTTCTGCATAGAAAATAAGCATTCGTATTTTTTGGTAAGAGTTAAGACTACATTCAGGGTTTTTTAAATGAATAAATCACCTTTTTTTCAAGAGGCCTGAGTATTATTTTTTTTGTCAGTTAAGTTTACTCAAAGCTGACGTTTATGAACTTCTCCCAAATGTCATGTTTAATAGCCTCTTTTGGGTGAGGACATAAGTGAGTAAACCATTACTGTAGACACAATCATATTGTCCCTTTATAAATTTATATTTACACCATTAGAAAATAAATGAATAACTTCCAAAGACAGCTGCTCCAAAATTATACCGACCCAATATTTTGGCTATATTTTTTATTTACTTCACATACTATGAACATATACATTACATGCTACAAAAAATAAAAAAGTAGATTTTAACTGTCAAGAAAGTGAATAGTGTTATAATACAGTGGCACATGTTCATATTTTTTACTTCAAATTGGATTGCTTAGCATCTTTCCCCCAAAACCATTAAGAACATGAAGTGTTTTTACTCAAATGATTAGAAATATTTGCATTAACAAACACAATTGAAACAGATTAATCAGGTCATATATTAGTATTAAAGTCTGGGTTTTACAGAAATGAAATATATATTAAAAAAAACATAGCAGCCAAGTTGTACTTCGTTTAGTGTGATATAATGTGTAAATGCACTAGGAGAACACAGTGTAGTTGAGCGTTCTGCTTTTCATGGTGTATTTCTAGAAAACATTAGTATTCTAGTTCTAGAACCTGCCTGTGCAGAATAAACCCAAACACTGACAGAGACAACTAAAACTTGTATGACTTCTAACATTCTTACTAATGAGTTTGGTTTTTTGGAGGGTAGGGGGGTGTGCAAAAGAGGGAACAAAGGCCACAAGACGATTCCATCTACATACTTATGAATTATTCAGTTTTATCTATCCTGCTTTAAGACATTGGTGAGATAGGTTGAATCAGTATCTTGTACAAATGCAGTCTTATCCTGTAGGCCTGTTATCTGATGAACAAACTTATATGTCATCTGAAAACTCAGCAATTAGTATACTGGGGGCTAAGAAAATCTTATTTCACAAGAACTTATTCTTCTAAAATAACAGCAGATATTAAGACTTTGTAGGGATGATTGTTCTTCTGCTCTGTCAAAGTCTATAATAAAAGTAAAGTATTTGCAATCATATGGTCTTCAGAAAAACATAGGTACATAGTAATACATTTGTATTTTTAGTTTAAATGAGTGTATAGGGCATTTATTTAGCAATGAAAATTTCTTTATATCCCATTCATGTTAAAAAATAACCTGCATACCAAACACCATATTTTCTTAAAGGAACTTTATCTACAAAAGTTGGGGAATGGAATCTTGTAGACATGACTACGGATATGCAGGATGATTTAATTATGACAGGAAGAATCAGTTGAAGTGGACTAAATTGTGTTGCCTTACTGAGAATATTGAACACGTCTCTCCTTTATTTATGCTTCTTTTGTGATATGTGGAGAAAAATATATGCATCTATCAGCAATTAATTTGTATGTATAGATACCATATTTAGAGACTGCCTGTATCAAGTATTCAATTCCTGTAGGTAGCAAGGTCAGGGGAAAAAAGTATGAATTATATGTAAAGAAACTAACATTTTACCAGCCCATGATTAGTTTATCTTTAAGCATTTTTAAGCACATTGAGCACTAACTTAGAAGCACAATATCAATTCAAATTAGATTAGAAATGCAGTCACTTAATTACTTCTGTCCGTCAAGTAATTATCACAAAAATAGATGAGTTGTAAGTTTTCTACAGAGGGTTTAGTAGTACTTTTAAAAAAATCATTGTTTGTTAGGATTTCTCTACAGTAATCTGTCCCCACTACCTGAAAATTGGACAGACATACTGATCACTTAGTTCTAACATAAAGCAACTATGTAACAGATAAAGGAAAAGTATTACTGTTTCCAGCATGTAATAGTTTTGAGGTAAAATGTTAACAGTATTCTAATTTATGGGCCCATGCCTCTCAGCAGTAGCCTCTGTGATGGGAACTAGCCCTTAAAGCATTTACAACTGTTCAGAGACATTCTAGTGGTATTTAGAGTAACAGCCGTGTTAGTCTGTATTCGCAAAAAGAAAAGGAGTACTTGTGGCACCTTAGAGACTAACCAATTTATTTGAGCATAAGCTTTCGTGAGCTACAGCTCACTTCATCGGATACAGTATGCATCCGATGAAGTGAGCTGTAGCTCACGAAAGCTTATGCTCAAATAAATTGGTTAGTCTCTAAGGTGCCATAAGTACTCCTTTTCTTCTAGTGGTATTTAACTACTTGTACATGTCCAGGAGCTGTTTCAGTTTTAAACCATTTAGAAAAATCGTTTACAATGTAGCCACAAAAGTTACAAAATAACTTTGAATATATTGGTCACTAGATTGTTGTATTTGGATAACTTAATTTAAGATACAGGCAAGGGATAGTTACCTTATTGTTTTAATTTACAAAACTTACTGCATCCATTCTAATTTTAATGTTAAAGAAAATCAGATAAGGATTAGTAGAAAAAGTTGAAAATTCAAGTAGTGCATAATAACCTAGTCAATGCACTGATTTTTATCATTTGCTATGAAGTAGTATTTTACTCTATTATGCCTTTTTATAATCAGTCCAGAAGCACAAAAGTATTTTCTATTAGTTTATTACAAATAAAATCTTCTCATGAATTCACTATCAAATGCTTTACAGATGGAAACAAGCAGAGCAGTCCCAAAAGTTATTTTAAAATAAAGGTAATGTTTGGCTTGTTAGTTCAAGACATTTGACACTGATTTGCTCTAGCCAATGACTAAGACTATTCACTAAGGATAAAGGAGTTATGAAACTGTCTCAATGTAATTTAATTTTATCTCTTACAACTGGCTAATGTTCTCTGTGTTACTTTTTCAGAGCAATGCTGCATATTTTAGTACACTTATTAATCAAATACTACCTTGAAGCTATGAATTAATGAGTAAAGTGCTATGCACACATTTGTCAGCACTGGTATGGAGGTCTACAATTCCTTAAAACATGTATTTGTGGGTAAAAAATATCAGGATGTGTTAATATAACATCTCAACTTGAAGTTAAATTAGCTACTAGGAAAGTTTGAAGCATCAATACTAAAGAAACCAATCTCTAGTGTCCTCAAACTCATCTGAAGACCTAGAGGAGGATTTGATTTCTTATTTACCATTGAAGTGGTAGATATCTGTAAGTCACAAAGCTATCCCAATGTATGTTCTACATCTAAAAAGATTATTTGCTTGGTGCAAAACATTATGTAGACTTGTTAGGGCAAAGAAAGTTAGAATGAAAACAAAGGCAAAAGCTCCAGAATTAACTGTTTGTGAAATTCCTACCCATACACTGAATTTTCTAAGTTTGATTTGCATTGCCTGTGGAAGCAGCAACATAAGCAATGGGACTGGAGAACGCTAAAACCTCTAATCAACAGATGTATTGCTGCTTTCTCCATCTGCTGCTGCAGGTAAGGTACGGTATGCTCTGCACATGAACATAAGCAGGCATTACAACCTACAATCATATACTTGTTCTGCTACTTGACACATAGGTTATCTAGTTTCGTACCCTGAATAACATCAGTTTTGATTAAGGAATGGTGGTGTTCAGTCCCAGGGTTTGCAGGTATCAGAATGCTCGAATAAACAATACTCCTTTCGACATCTGTAGGAACACAGTCTAAATGGCAGCTGCAGTGAAATACAGAGAGACTGTTCCCATCTGTAAGCAAAACTGTTGAGCCACACTCAGCTGAAGTCCTCATCAGGATTCTGTTGGTCCAGCAGGCGGACATGTGTGAATGGAAAGTGACCACGTTTACCATTACACTCTCCTTCCCATTGACCACTCACATTAATCTTTGTGACCTTGACCAGCTCACCGACCTGCAGGACAGGAACAAAGTGTTATTACATAGTGTAGAAGAGTATTTAATTCCTTGTTAACCTCATTTTGGTACAGTTTACATTTGTACTCTTCAATAAAAATGCTTACTTGCTGTCTCAAATAGTCAGTCTTTGGCAGAACAGCCTAATCCAAATTATTAAACTCTTGAAGAAAACAGAAAAACAGAGAGAGAAATGCAGCAATGTGTGGATAGACTACCTACAGTTAGGGTGACCAGATAGCAAGTGTGAAAAATCGGGACGGGGGGTAATAGGAGTCCATATAAAAAAAGCCCCAAATATCAGGACAGTCCCTATAAACTCGGGACATGTGGTCACCCTACCTACAGTATAGACTCTGCAACCCTGCACCAGTCTCTTTCAGTGTGTTCTTGTGGCTTGACAAATCAGCCCTCCTGTTGTGGTAAATTAATTATTGCTGAACTAACATTAGATGCTTGCATTTCTCCTGGGTGGGACCAATAACTGAACATAAGAGGGAAGACAGTTTGCAAGTGTATAAAGGAAATACATTACGATATTGGAAACCTAACAGCTCTTTAAAAAAAGGGACATCTCAAATACAACTGAAAGGTTGAGCAAAATGTTTTAAGAAATAATAGGTCAGATACAACAGCCCTGCTCAGTGTCAACAATTCCTCAAAGGAGTGTTGCAAGACCATGAGCACAGAAAAAGGTGATAATGGTAGCTATAAGAGTATAGTGGTGAAATTCTCTGGTTTGGGAGAGCAAGTTAAAGGTATTACATTTTAATAGTAATAAATAGCAGCATTTAGAGCATCTTCCATATGACTGAGCACTTCACAAACATTAAGGCTTGATCAGTTGTATGGCAAGCATTATCCCCATTTGACAGACAGGAAAAATACAGAGAGCTATTAGGTGACTTGCCCAAAGTCATACAGTAAGTCAGTGTAAATGTCAGACTACATTCTAGGTCTATATTTTACCACATTCCAAAATTAATCACACTTTAAAAAGTTCAGTGTTTGAATAAGTAATTTCCTTCGTATTTTATTTTAAGTGTTGTTTAATTAATATTAGAGAGATAAGGTGAATGAGGTAATATCTTTTATGGGACCAACTTCTTTGTGACCTTTACCAGATCACCAACCTACAGGATAAGAACAAGTACATTGTTACTACATAGTGCAGAAAAGTATCTGATTCCTTGTTACACTCATTTTGGTACTGTTCATGCTAGTATTTTTCTATGAAAAGTGCTTACTTGCAGTCTCAAACAGCTCTAAAGCGTGTCTTTCTCACCAACAGAAGTTATTCCTTGTCTCTCTAATATCCCAGGACCAACATGGCTACAACTACACTGCAGATCAATTAATATAGCAGATATTTGAGTACAAAGAAAAATCTATAATTAGAAGAATGTAAATTGGTTGCAAAGTCAAATCCTCAAGAGTTATAGGTAATGCCAAATGTAAGGCTGCTTGTGGAACTTTATTCACTTGTGCATAGACATTATGACAACCTTTTTTAATTATATGATTGCAAACACATCATTTTTTCCTCAATACTCACCTAATTCAGTACACTGGATGGATGATGCTCAGAGAATGGGTAGATGTATAAGACGAGAACGGACCTTTACAATTATCCAGTCTGACCACTACATGTGGACTCCTATTTATTGCATATCATCCAAATGCCACACTGAATATGTAGTTATTAATTTACTCATGGGCTCGTCTATGGTGCTTATTATCATATCTGAGTGTCACAAACATTCATTAATTTATCTTCATAAGTGCTCTGTGAGACAGAGTATCAATATTCCCATTTGACAGCCAGGAAATCAAGGTACAGGGAGATAAAGACAAGAATTTGCAAGTCTTCACTAATTTTTTGTGTCCTGTAATTAGGGATGATTTTTTAGAGTACTTGGAACTGTTATAACAGTTATGTTCAGCACACTGTACAGATATTAACTAATTAACAGGGCTGTCAAGTGATTAAAAAATTGATCACAATTAATTGCACTGTTAATAATAGAATACCATTTATTTAAATATTTTTGGATGTTTTCTACATTTTCAAATATATTCATTTCAATTACAACACAGAATACAAAGTGTACAGTGCTCAGTTTATATTTAATTTTTATTACAAATATTTGCACTGTAAAAAACAAAAGAAAATAGTACATTTCAATTCACCTAATACAAATACTATAGTGCAATCTCTTTATCATGAAAGTTGAACTTACAAATGTAGAATTATATACAAAAAATAACTGCATTCAAAAATAAAACGACCCAAAATGTTAGAACCTATAAATCCACTCAGTCCTACTTCAGCAAATAGCTCAGACAAAGAAATTTGGTTACAATTTGCAGGAGATAATGCTGCACATGTCTTGTTTACAATGTCACCTGAAAGTGAGAACAGGTGTTCACATGGCATTGTTGTAGCCAGCATCACAAGATATTTACATGCCAGATGCGCTAAAGATTCATATGTCCCTTCATGCTTCAACCACCATTCCAGAAGACATACGTCCATGCTGATGACAGGTTGTGCTTGATAACAATCAAAGCAGAGTGGACCGACACCTGTTCATTTTCATTATCTGAATCAGATGCCACCAGCAGAAGGTTGATTTTCTTTTTTGGTGGTTCGGGTTCTGTAGTTTCCACATCAGAGTGTTACGCCTTTGAGACATCTGAAAGCATTCTCCACACCTCGTCCCTCTCAGATTTTGGAAGGCACTTCATATTCTTAAACCTTGGGTCGAGTGCTGTATCTATCCTTAGAAATCTCACATTGGTACCTTCTTTGCATTTTGCCAAATCTCCTGTGAAAGCATTCTTAAAACGAACATGTGCTGGGTCATCATCCAAGACTGCTATAACATGAAATATATGGCAGAATGTGGGTAAAACAGAACAGGAGACATTCAATTCTCCCCCAAGGAGTTCAGTCACAAATTTAATGAATGCATTATTTTTTTTAACAAGCATCATCAGCATGGAAGCATGTCCTCTAGAATGGAGGCCGAAGCATGAAGGGACATATGAATGTTTAGCATATCTGGCATGTAAATACCTTGCAACGCTGGCTACAAAAGTGCCATGGGAACCTGTTCTCACTTTCAGGTGACACTGTAAATAAGAAGCAAGCAGCAGTATCTCCCGTAAATGTAAATAAACTTGTTTGTCTTAGCAATTGGCTGAACAAGAAGTAGGACTGAGTAGACTTGTAGGCTCTAAAGTTTTACACTGTTTTGTTTTTGAGTACAGTTATGTAACAACCAAAAAAATCTACATTTGTAAGTTACACTTTCAAGATAAAGAGATTGCACTACAGTACTTGTATAAGGTGAATTGAAAAATACTATTTCTTTTATCATTTTTACAATGGAAAATATTTGTAATAAAAAATAATATAATGTGAGGACTGTACACTTTGTATTCTGTGTTGTAACAGAAATCAATATATTTGAAAATGTAGAAAAACATCCAAAATATTTAATAAATTTCAATTGTTTAACAGTGTGATTAATCGCAATTAACTTTTTTAATCGCAGTTAATTTTTTGAGTTAATCGTGAGTTAACTGCGATTAATCGACAGCCCTACTAATTAATCTTCTACAACCCTGAGTATCAGATGGGCAAGTATATTTATTGCCATTTTACAGATGGGAAAATAGAGAGAAAAAGGCAAACAACCTTATCCAAGGTGTCACAGTGATATCAGTGGCAGAGACTCGGGACCTCCTGACTTTCAACTCTGTGCTCACTTCTCCAAGCAATTTACTACCAGAGTTTTTGAGCAGCTAGAGCTTCCATGTATTTCAGCTGCAGTCACTGAGCATTCAGCCCTTCTGAAACTCACCGTCTAAGTATCTAAGGTTAGACACTCAGAAAATGCGGAACACACTCCCTCCAAAAAATTCTGGTCAATTAACTTGACGACCATCACAGTGGAGGTCTGTGGCTGAGGCAGCAATAGAACTAAGTTCTCCTGAGTGGCATTAATCTATGTTATATCATTCTTCCTGCAGTCCCCTGCATCAATCTCTATACCCCTTCCAGTGTTTTTGGAGCAAGTGAAACTGGGAGCCATGTGCGACTGGTACAGACAACCTCATTCACTACACAACTTTAATTCCCTCAGCACTGCCCAGACAACCTTAAATCTGGCATTTCCTAGAAACAGTGCTTGACTTTGCAACCTAAACAATTTTAATCTGATTTTTTGTATGTGATTTCTTAGATTTTGTTTTGGCCATTCTTCTCTTTTTAAAAAGGGCATAACCAAGTTCTATTATATGCAACTGTCACAAATCGTACCCCCCAAAACCTCCAAAAATATCATGCATCAGCAGCAGGGTTTGAGCACAAAGCCTTCAGCACTGTTACCCATGCTTTACAAATGCTAGATTAGTGCTATTTAACAGTTTAGCCAAGCACTAATATTTGGCACACAGAGACACAGTGTCAGTGTCATTTGTACCTATGTAGTTTATGTCTACACAGCATTTTGGAGCCTGCCCACATGACAAAGCCTCCCAGCCTGGGTTGACAGATTGGGTAAGCAGGGCTCATGACAGCACTCTAAAACTAGCTGTGTATAGACAGCACTTTGAAGTTGCAACTCAGGCTGGAGCTCAGGCTCTGAACCCTAGGGAGGGGATGGGCTGAAGAGCCCAAGCCACAATTAAAAAGTGCTGTCTATACAGCTAGTTTTAGAGCACTAGTCAGCCCAGACTGGGAGGCTCACTCTCATGGGCAGGCTCTAGCATGCTATGTAGACATACCCTGTAAGGCTCTGCTCAGTAAAAAAGGGTTGTGAAGGACACAGCATTTTTATTACCAGTTGGTAGAAATTAGATTAGAATTAATAGTCTTCTGGTTCCCTGTTCAGTTTGTTTTCCCCTGAGCCACAGGTAATTTGACTGTGTAAGTACAGAAGCCGCGGCAGTATGTAGATAGACATGGATGATCCACTTGGCTGTGTTCCA